TCTGCTATGTGTGGAAATCCTACTGGCCTGCTTGACTAGTTGCTCTGTATGCTTAACTTGGTATATCACTTATTTCCTGTCCTTCCACCACTATCCACTATCCACTCTCCATACTTATTGCTCATGCTATTCTAAATTCTCATTCTTAGCCGGCTGAAAACCAAGGCTATCTAGGTTCTGTTGTTGGTCTCCCTAGTGCAAGCACTGCTCGGGGTCCAATTGAGGCCCTTGTGAACTCTAAAACGCTAGGGCTTGGTCCTTAGTCATTCCCTCAACCTCCAAAACTGTTCCTGTTGTTCCCTTTCCCCTGTTATGGACTATGTGTCTGAATTTGGTTGTTCAAGTGGTGCAAAACTTGGTACTGTGGTTAAGTAAATTGGTTTGGGCTCTTCTATGGACCCTTGGGTCGTGTATTGAATGCGACTCTCTATTGAAGGCCTAGGTATGTTGTAAGAGATGTTGAAGGCCCATGCAATGCTGGGTATTTGTTTTTATCTTTATTGGGAATACTGTGGGCCTCTTCAATGTAATGTAATATTGTTACTTTACTCATTATGGGGCCTGTAATAATCTTTGTATAAACAACTGGGTTGTTAGTAAAAGAGAGTGGGGTAGATTTTAATATTTACATGTGATGGGTAGATAACATGCCTATAGGACTTAATAATGTGTTTGCTATATGTGTCGTTCACTCGCTATGTAAACTGTAGAAATCATGCCATTAAGAGAAGCACACACTCACACTACTTGTCTACTAGCAAAGCATGAGCTCAAATGTTTCAATTATCCTTGTTGCTACATGATTATTAGAAATATGTCCATAAGAAGTAAATATCGTTGAACTTTCCTTCAATTTGCATTGCTGCAGCATATATGCTAGAGATCATGCCTATAGGATTTCAATCATCTCATTTGTTATTATATCACACTATTCACCTATAAAACATGCCTATAGGGTTAAAGTATAATCATAAAATCGGTCCCAGGTGCTAATCGTTAGAGACCCTGTCTATAGGATACCATTATTCGTCTTAATAACTGTTAGTGATGCACCTCTCAACTCTGTTATTGTTCATTTAGGCCACTATAGAAATCATGCATAATTCTGGGCTCTTCTCCAATAGATTTCATTGTCACTTAGTGCATAAATTACTTAGACACAATATCTACAGGATTAATAACTGGAAAGCTGCAATTTTTAATAATCAGTATGCGACAATCGTATAATCATGTCTATGAATAACACTGGTTCCTCAAACTGCTTGCATGCCTGGATGTCTATCACATAGAAATCATGTCTATAGGAAATCAAATTCTTTAATCTTGAATTGCTTAACCTGAAAATCTATTTGGGCATGCATTTGTTGTTTAATTGTGGAGGTTAATTTGAGCATTTAACTGCATTCATATGTGAACTCTAATGTGTTTTTGTATGTCGCCTAGTTTTGACATTTTTTGAGCAGCCTAAGATAAGTCTAGAAACACCAAAAGTAGAGGTCCAATGCCTCCTAGACCATAGGCATGGGATGGGTAGTGCACGTGTAAGGTACGATTTATAATTGAACTAGTGAGCTTTAGGTAACAACTTGAAGATAGCAATTGGGTAGCAGAAGATGATAGTCTGTGCCCGCTGAATAATATGAGTAACATCCTATCTTGAGGGAGTTACGAAGTATTATTTATGTTGCACGTGGTGATCCTTTAGGCTAAAAAACTTAGGACCCTCCCCCCATCTTATTCCTATTTATCTTTGAATCAAGTGTTTGTATTCATTTACTCAAAGTCTTTTATAATAATAAAATTCCCAAACTTCGTGCTCTCTCTCTCTCTCTCTCTCTTTATTTATTTGACTAATCCAAATAATTCGAGTTTGGCCGAGACCCACAGTTGTGGACCTCGAAGAGTGCCTAACATCTTCTCTTCGATGTAATTTCGAGCACTTACTCGATATTTGGTGATGCAAACTAGTCAAACCTGAGTCACTTGCAAATAGGTGCCCTAACGCACCTTAAAAATCGCTAAGTGGCGACTCTTCTCTTTTAACCCTGCCTTTAAAAGAGTTGTCACATGTCGAAACCTGATTTTGCGAGAAAAAAGGGCGCGACGCTAATACTAACTCCACTAAGCTATTGTTGAAGTTGTAATTCGATAACCTAGGATATGTGGAGTCTCGGGCCCTCGGTACCTCTTTTTCTTGTAATGACCTGTTGTTCCGGCCATGTTTGGCTCTTTTATCAGGAGCGAACCTATCCGAGGACTGAAACCCTTTTCTGTTGCATCCCTCGATTCTTTCATATAGCAGTAAATGACCCTTAAAAGATCGCCGATCTACATCGAAGTCGCTTTTAAACTTGTCTTGATTTTTGTCTCGGTCCCATCCTTTGGCTGATGTTGGGAACCCGAGTTGATCGTCTTCTATTCTGTTTTTTGACTCGTAATGGTTATGGACATCCATCCATGTGGTTGCTTGGAATTCGAGCTAGTTTTCCTTCAACTTTCAGGAGGCGTCAAAGCTTCGTGGATTCAAAACCTTTGTGAACGCCTCTCCTGCCCTCTCATCTGGTACAACCGGTACCAGCATCCTCTCTTTCTAGAACCTTATCATGAATTCTTGCAGCAATTCGGACTCACCTTGCACAATCCTGAATATGTCTGCCCTCCTGACTTGGACCTTCCTTGTCCCGGCATGGGCCTTGATGAACGAATCTACAAGTATTTCAAAAGAGTCAATTGAATATTCGGGTAAGAGTGAATACCATGTCAGGGCCCCCTTTATGAGGGTTTCATCAAACTTCTTCAGTAAAACCGATTCGATCTCATGTTGAGCCAAAATCGTTCCCTTTTGCAATGGTGTAGGTTGTGATGTGCTCCTATAGATCCAAAGTCCCATCGTATTTTGGTATGTCCGACCTTTGGAACCTCTTCGGAATTGACTCTGGTGCTTCGCTCGGTTTAAGGTGCAATTGCGTGTATTTTTTTCAAATGTGGGCCTTTCAAGATTGGCGGTGCGCCCAGAATCTGAACGATTCGGGCATGAAATTCCTTCGTATTTTGATCCATTCGTTCGTTCATTTCCCTCGTAAACCTCTTGAGCTCGATTTTCAAGGGATAATTCCTGTTATCATTCCCATATCCGCTATCGGTCCCTCCAGCACCATCGACTCTTTGAGCCATTCGATACATAGGAACAATAGGAGGAACCGGACCCCTTTTGTTTGCATTATTAGAAGCACCTCACAATGCTTGTTTTAACTCCGTCATTATCCGGTCCTACCTTGAGAGGTGTCTCATGATAGCTTTCTGTTGTGCTCTTATGATTTTCATTGTTTTCAGGACATGTTCTTCCTCTACATCATTGGGAGTTAGCTCCCGCACATGTCGGAGGTACTGCCTTTTACAAACTAGTGTTGCTTCGTCCCCTTCGTTACGGGTGTCGCTGATTGAGTTTTCGTGTTAAGGCAACTCTTCGTGTCCCTTAACGTTGTGCGTGATATTGACATCATTAGTTGCCATTGCTGATTTCTTGCTAAGGAAAAATCAAACAAGTTAGTAACAAATGTAAGAATCAAAGCAATTACGCAACTGTCTAAGCCTCACGGTGGGTGCCAAACTATTTACCCGTAAAACAGTACAGTTAAATTTGTTACGTGGTTTATAGACAAGCAAACTGATTTGATCCAAAAATGATAAAGAAATAAGATTTTAAAAAAATACTTAGCAATAGAAATTGAAGAAGATGATAAGCCTGGATCCGAGCGCAATTTCTCCGAGGACAAAAATAAAAACAATGATAAAGAACAAATAAAGTTGTTTAATTGAGAGCGAGAGTAAAATATAGCATATGTTTCTTCAAGAATTTCTTGTGTTATAATGGTTGATGAGCCTGCTATTTATAGGTATAGCTAGAGAAACAAGATCCTAGGATCAAGTCTCGCTTAAATGATAATAAAGGTATCATTTATGAATATGTAACGGCAGGACTTGAATGCAAATATTCTCAGTAACAGTTGCTCATTAATGATAGAGAATATTCTCTCATTGAATGCTATCCAATCACAAATACTTGATTTGTTCCTGTTGACCATGCTCCCTTAGGGATTTACCCGATGTCAATTGTAGTTGTGGTATTCGGTACTGGTTGTTACTTGACTCGCCTTTTACCTGTCTTCGATTCCACATGTTATGCTATCATTCGACTATTTATTATAAACCAATTTTACCCAATACAAATTTCATATATACCATATCAGCATTTTTTCTAATTTCTGAGCATAGTTTTCAAAATTTTAAAAAAATTGATAAATAAAAAAATATTGATTGAGTAGGAAAGGAGTTCAAATTAATATGAAAATTAATTATAGTTCATATACAAAATGATATTAGTATTCTAAACTCTAGATGAACTAAATAATTAAGACTTTAAATTATACTATGGTACTCCCTCCGTTCCAATTTATGTGAACCTATTTGACTGGGCACGGAGTTTAAGAAAAATATGAAGACTTTTGGAATTTGTGGTCCTAAACAAGTCCAAATGGGGCCCAGAGTATTTTGTGTGGTTATAAAAGCTTCTCATTAAGGGTAGAGTTGTAACATTAAGCTAAATTGTTACCAAATTTAGAAAGGGTTCATTCTTTTTTGAACGGACCAAAAAGGAAATAGGTTCACATAAAATGGAACAGAGGGAGTATATATTTTTTACTTTGACTTTTGTAGAATTTTTGTCACCTTTTAAATAAAAAATATAAGAACTCTGTCTCCTTTTAAAAAAAGAAGTCCTTTGGAGTTAAAGATTACCCACCCTGGGAAGGTAGAAGTTTATTCTTAAGTATTCTCAAATATTACTTTTTTAATTCGAAAAAGATGAAGTGTTTTTAATATATTTCCTATATTTGTTGTAGATTAAGCAAAAGTATTTGTTTTGGATGTATATATGTAGGATAATATGGTTTGACTTATTGTTAAAGAGTAGAGGGATCAAATTTATCAAATTAATCGTACTCGAGGAAGAAAACAAAAACCACTGCCATTAAAATCCAAGAAACGGGAAACTTTAGTTAAGGACTTTGTGACACTCGCGTACGTTACTGAAACAGTGAAACATACGAATTACATGTCAAAAACAAGCCAATTTTGTCGTTTAAGCTTCTTTTCGGGATTACCAGCCAACTCTTGCCGACTTCAATATATTTATTGCGTTTCAATTTCACAGCCATGAGTAACTCTTTGGCCTTTGGGATTTCTTCAACTCTTCACACATTTTCTCCCCTTTTTGAACCAAAGAAAAACACCCCAACATGCACTTTCTGGATAAATTTTACTGTGTTTCTCACAGTTAGAGCATTAGATTCTCTAAATTGTTATTTTGTTCGTTGCTTCTGAGTTTTTAAAGTTATTTATTGAGATATGGGTTGGAAATACAACGCTGGATTGGTGTTAATAGGAGCTTTTGTGTTGATATGGGTTGCTTCTGCTGAGGTTACTCAGGTAATTAAAGCCTTTTCATTTGCGCTCTTTCTGTTTCTTTTTGGGGGGATTATAGAGTTTAGTCTTGGTTTATTTTGTGTACTGATGCTTTTATTTTATAGCTGAATTCTAATATTGTTTACTTATGCAGCAACTTGATAGGGAAAGATTGATAAGAAGTAAGGGAATATATAGACTTAGCTAAACAGTGCAACCGACTTCTGAATTGGAAAATATAAAGCTGATATTATAAAATTAGTTCTAACAGATGAATAAGATTATAGCAAAATGTAGTCTAGTTCATGACGTTATGCAGAAATGCTAGTAACTCCTTTTTGTTATTATTATATGTAGACGGTCCAGACAGAATTTTATGTTGAAAAAGAAATGGTGAGGAATAACTTAAGGATAATATTGGATTGTGAATTATGTTTAAGAAGTTAGCTCAAAGGAAGATCAAACAGAGAGATTAGGATTCCAATGAATTGTGGCCTCATATATATTGCTGAGATGGGGAAAAGCTTTGTTTTTCTATAGTCAAGCAACTGAAAGCACTTGCAAAAATAGGTTCAGAATATAAATGGTGAGAAAGCGTAGGACTTAAGTAAATATGCATACAGATTAAGCCCAAGAGGCTAGACGATAGGGGAAGAGTGTAAAGTTGGAAAGTTCAAAAATTTGACGGATTGCTTGTAGGAGACTAGATACTATTGTGACTAGGATTATGATTAAGGTAAAGGAGTGTCAAAAAGATAGGCTGCAACATTGTTGAAATGCATAGAGTCTTAGTTATTTTTGTTGTTGACGTCATCATCTTACAAGGTTTTATCAATGATACTGCCTGTATAGTATCCATTACACATTACAAAGACATCATTTGATTGTTTATCTGCTTTCAGACGTTATGTACCTTATTTTGGTTTCTGTTGGCGTTGTTATTTTATTACATTTATCTGCTGTCAGTTGCCGGGAAAGAAATGAGAAGCAAGAAATTGTCATGCACTATTCCGATGTTTAGACTCATATCTGAGAGTACATTGAGAGAGGCAAGTTAGTTTCAACCATAATCCAATCTTGTTTTGTTCTAAACATATGCCTTTGCACAAAATCTGACACAGAAAAATATTTTTGAATGCAAAGCCCATTGATTGATGATACCCACAGTATTACCACTAAATATGCTGATTGCATTCATCTAATATCATATGCTTACTTTATCTCATTTGCATTGGCTAAGGATGTTGCGTTGTCTATGCATATCGTATTCAGTAACTTGTGCCTATTCTACTAGTATTAACTAGTAATTTTTTGTCACAAGGGCTACTTTCTTTTCCGGGTACAAGCTTTGTAAGATTCGGTTTTAAACCAATGTTTTGCTATATGAATTATGTGTCAATTACATGTCAATATTGCAAGTTTTCCACTATAGCATCTTAACAACAATTACTTGGGGATTATTGGTAAAGAAATGCTTAGAGCTGTGCAAAAGGGAAAGTTAGAATGTTTATTTCGTTATGTTGTAGTTCCTATGCTGAAGCTGTTGATCTTTTCATAGTATGTGAAGGATTTCTATACAACTTTCCTTTTGCCATTCACTTATTTCTGTTGCCATTAATTTCTTTCCATACAAAGCTTTGCAATCATATTATGCAGATGTTTTTGGACAGATGATACTAAGATAAAACCATTTATGTGCTGCAGAAAATTTTTGTAGAGTATAAACAACCTTTTGCAGTTACATATCTGGGGATCTCTCTTATGGCAATCTTCCTGCCTATAGCGGTTTGTAAAGATTGGTTATGCAGTTTATTAGAAAAGAGTTCCTTGAAGAAACTGTATAATAAAAATCTTATCTTGGACTCCTCAGTCCTAGATGTACCACTTAAACTCAATGACATGCACAATCATCCCGGAGGAGCTTTGAAGGATTATTTTACAGCAGACATGGATTACAGCAGCCCTGAAGAAGCCCTGGCATTAGTTGGTATCAACCATAAAGATGAGTTCCACTTTCTTGAAGAGGAGGGCCATGATCGTAACTCATGGGACCTTGTCAAATGTAGTTTGTATCTTGCTCCTTTATGGTTTGCGACAGAGGTACTTATTTCTATCTAAAACCTTTAACAATTTTTATGTTGAATGATATACTACTTTCAGTACTTGCGCCAAATGTTTCTCCACCCTCTCCCCTAAAGCCAAAAAAAAAAAAAAACACAAAGAAGAGAGGAAATCAGGAAAGCAGCCAAAGGCTCCTATAGTGAGCAAAAAAAGAAAAAGGAAGCTGGCAAATGTTATAAAATGTATTACGGATGAGATGTGCTTCATTTCCTGACCCTTATCAATTTTGCTTCAAGATTGACGGTCATTTATTGAACCATGCCCGAGCTTTTACTGCTTGTTTTAGAAAACAAATGTTTGTTGCTTGCTCAAAATGGCTATAAAGCATTGAACATCTAAGAGATCTCCCATTATGAGCTCTAGAAGATATGCAAATATTATTTAAGAACATTTCCAAACAGAAAGAACACAGATTTTTTTACTTATTGTAGAAATACAGAAATATCACGAAGACGGAGAACTTGTTTGTCCAAATATAGGATTTCACAATCGATGTTTCCTTTTGTACTTCTTGAAAATGTTTAACGGATGAGAAATTAGAAGATAGAGAATTCATGCAAGATTTGATGCAGTCAAGTCGTCATCATTTGAGTCGGTCTGTTTATGGATCAAAATGGCCATGCTTACATTAAAGGAGTGTTAATTGTATCTAGGTGACTGACTGTTTGTTGTCCTATTCTGTCTTTATGTAGGGGGCTGATTGCTATTTGTCATTTTCCTTCTTTGCAAGATAAATTATATAATTGCAAATTGAATACCCAACTTAATTGCTTAATGGCTTGCAGTATTTTTCAAACTCTGCACTGGCGAATACAAGTGTGGCTAGTACTACTATTTTGACCTCAACATCTGGGCTTTTTACGCTTCTTTTTGGAGCACTCCTCGGCCAGGACTCAATAACTATTGCGAAGATGATTGCTGTTATAATCAGTATGAGTGGTGTGGCACTGACTACAGTTGGAAAAACATGGGCTCCTGATGAAATGCTGAGTGCATCTGAGTAAGTTTTTAATAAGCATGGTCTATCTATGTTGAGGTCTAAGCTTGTTAATATGTCTTCAGATTCTCCAGATGAACCATACAATCCATCTACGGATTAAAATGCATGCATAGGGGCAGAAGATGCTTTATCCGTATTTAGCATATAGGCATAGCATCTCAAGTTCTTCTGTTCCACAACATTTTATTCTGCCATGAGACAATGATCATATAGAAGGGGAGCCTTGGAGCAACGGTAAAGTTATTATAGGTAACGGGTTTGAGCTGTAGAATCAGTCACTAATGCTTGTATCAGGGTAGGCTGCCTACATCATACCCCTTGGGGTGCGGCCCTTTCCCGGACCCTGCGGGATGCTTCGTGCACCGAGCTGCCCTTATTAGACGATGATCATGCTATGCTGATATGCACAAGTTGTGCCTCTATATTACTTATTTCATGTCATTTCCATGTTTTAATTGGTGAAATTTCAAATTACCCATAATGGCAATTGTTAAAAAAAAAAAAAAAGTGAATAAGTTTCAATAAGTGGCTTTGAAATGATAAGTGTTGTTTAAGCTCAGGATGTATATGAATTTAGAAGTCGTCTCTCCTAATATAAATTTAATTGGTGCACTATTAATTTTCATTTTCACTTAAGGACTTTAGCTTCCTTGCATCATCATGTATTATGGCAAAGATGGAGCTTTTACTGGTGAAAGTGACCTAAAAAGTGCTGATGGTTTATAGGAAAAGATAATAAAGTTGTTCAAGGCTCGTATCTACTTTAAAAGCTTGGTTTTTGTACCCGTAATTTGAAGTGGACGCTTATCAGACTTGATGCAGTAGAGAAATAGAGAGCAAGATCTAAGAATGGTTGAAGTATATGATCTAGGACATATCTGAAATTAGGCAGTTAAATCCATAACCAGTGGAAAATAATAATCAAGAAGAAGGAAAACATCAAATCTCGAATGTCCTCTAGGAATGGCGCCTAGCAGAAAGTTCAAGGGAGGCATACCCTTCAAAAGATCTCAGAGAATTCTGAGTAAAAGCTTTATACAGTTCATTTCATAAGCAACATTACAATATTGTACATAAACTATACAACCTAAACCTATTCTGGTAGGATTTTCTGAACTAATTAGGAAACAAACGGTAATACCTACTTGCGAAACGTTTAAATTACTAAAAATTATAACTAGTTTGCCAAAGAATAGCTTTCTTTATGCAAAATTTTTCTGGATATCACAGGAATTCTATAATGAGCAAAATACCCCTAGAACTTGAAATTATAGAGAAAAAAAAATCTTATAGAAAATAATGGCACAATAATAAAAGAATTTGAAAATGTATTATAAGCCTTAATCTGCTGGTCACAAAAGGGAAAAGGAGGGGGAAACATACCTCCAGATCTTTCAACTTTTCTAATAGGCTAAACTGCTCTTCTATAGGTTAATTTAATTGTCTGCATCACTAGACTCATTTGGCGTGAATCAATATATGCACCTCTTAGTTAAGGAATACTAGTGATGAGGTAGTCATAGTAACCATTCCCCCCCC